CATTGTGATGGCAACGGGCGATCTTTGTGTCATAACTTCATCATCCTCAATACTTTCATGTAGCTTTGAAGGTTGACGGTAGCTGCTTTGCCCCCTTTCCGATTGGCGAACTTGTGGAGGAGGCCTATGTTTCTTGTGCATTTTCTTTGGAGTGACATAAGTCCATCCTTCAACTTCACTTGACTTGACTGACATGGTTTTGGAGCATGCCCCCAGCGGTTGAGGTGAAGATTTTGAGTTCAAAGAGCCAGAAGTGACGGTGGTATAGTTTGACTTCACCACATCATTAAGATCTAGCTCGATGATCCCTTTCTGAGCCAACTTCATGATGAGATCTTTTAGCACAAAGCACTTTTCCGTCGGATGACTAATGAAGCGGTGGAATTTACAGTACCTTGGATTGTCAGTACGGTTCATATCTTCTGGCCGTTTGCACTCAGGGAGGTTGATCACCTTTTTGTCAAGCAAGTCTTTCAACATGGCAACCACGTCAGAGTCGGGGAATGGATAAGTTTTCTCCTCAAGCTCCTTCAAAGTGCGTCTACGTGTCTCTTGATCACGAAAAGCTTCGGTTTGAATCGCCTTGCTTCGTGTAGGGATTTTGACTGGAGTTGTGTTGACCGTCATTGCTTCCTTGGTGGGTTTCCACGTAGCTTTATCCACCTTTGGCCCCAAAACTTTGTCATTCTTGTAGTCGGCGATCTGTTCTTTCTTCCCATGACGGGTGATGCTTAACTCCATATCATGGGCGCGGGTGGCTAACTCCTCGAATGTTCGTGGTTTGATGCCTTGAAGGATGTAGTGTAGTCCCCACTGCATGCCTTGAACGCACATCTCAATGGCAGAGGTTTCAGAAAGCCGATCTTTGCAATCCAGACTTAAAGAACGCCATCTATTTATGTAGTCAACGACAGGTTCATCTTTCCACTGTTTCGTGCTGGTCAGCTCTAACATGCTTACAGTACGACGAGTGCTGTAGAAACGGTTGAGGAATTCCCTTTCTAGCTGGTCCCAACTGTTGATAGACTCAGGTTCGAGGTCAGTGTACCAGTCAAAAGCATTACTTTTCAGCGAACGCACGAACTGTTTGACGAGGTAGTCTCCCTCTGTCCCAGCATTGTTGCAAGTTTCAATGAAATGGGCGACATGTTGCTTCGGGTTGCCTTTTCCATCGAACTGCATGAATTTTGGGGGCTGATAACCCCTTGGCATCTTCAAAGCATCAATCTTCTTGGAGTAAGGCTTTGAGTACAGTATGGAGTCATGCGAGCTTCCTTCGTACTGTGTCTTGATAGTGCTTGCGATCATCTCCTGTAGCTGCTGGATAGAGAGAGATCCCATGGACGCCGTTGCTTGGTCTAGCTTCGGCTTCTCTTCGACTTTCTCCGCTGATGGCTCCTCTTCTTCGTCGCCTTCTTTCTTTAATAGGCCAACAATTGGGTCGACTTTCACGTCGAGCTGCGCATCTAGTTGGTTGACGAGTGCGGCAATCTGCAAGTCCTTCTCTTCCACAGTCCGTGTGAGCTTTGCAATTGCTTCATTCATCTGAGCTAGCTGCTCCTCGATTGAAGTTGCTCCAGTGGTCATGACTTGCATGGTTGTACTGCCGCTTGAATCAGCGTCGGAGAGTAGGGACTCTGAGTATTTCCTTGGGCTCTCCCCTTTTGATGCCCTTAGCGAGGCTAGGGTGATCACAGGCTCGTACCTCAGGTGCTCTTGTTCCTTTGACAGAGTTAATGCAGGGGCGGAAGCCGCGGCAAAAAGATCTCTTGCCTTACTTCGGGTTATGATGCCCGAAATATCACCACTTGCGGCGATGATGTTCTTGTTCTTTGCTTTGATTGCAGGAACAGCTTGATCCTTTCTTGATGCCATTTGCGTTTTTGATGATTTGAGGATAGAGATGAGAGGTAGAGATTGTCCCACCGGGCGTGCCAAATTTGTAAACACGAGAAATTCCTGAAACAAGCGACAAGAATACGTGTACAAAATAATATTTTGTATTAATGATTTTGGGGTTACAATCTCTTTGTAATTTGGTCCTCTGATTCTATCTTCGTAGGGTGTGGGTTGTTGATCCAAAGGGTCGTCGGGGCTTGATCTAAGGATGCACAGCTGATGAATGGATCTTCAAGGGGCGTTGGGCTTGATCTTGAAGGTTGATGGATGAACGGATCTTCAAGGGCTTTTGGGCTTAATCTTGAAGGATGAACGGATGTGTGGATTTGTTGAGGTTGTTGATCCAAATGGGCCGTTGGGGCTTGATCTTAGGATGAACGGATCTTCAAGGGCTTCTGGGCTTAATCTTGAAGGATGAACGGATGTGTGGATTTGTTGAGGTTGTTAATCCAAAGGGGCCGTTGGGGCTTGATCTTAGGATGAACGGATGATGAGCGATGAACACTTTCTTCAAGGGCCGTCGGGGCTTGATCTTGAGTTGGTGGAAGTTCTTCAAGGGCCGTCGGGGCTTGATCTTGAATTGAACGGATGATGAACGATGAACACTTTCCTCAAGGGCCGTCGAGGCTTGATCTTGAGTTGGTGGAAGTTCTTCAAGGGCCGTCGGGGCTTGATCTTGAAGGTGGATTTGACGAAGAACGAAGATTGCTTTCTTGATCCTTCGGGGTTTGCTTGAGAGCTTTAGAGTTTCAAGGCTTCTTTCTTTCTTCCTTCCTTCTTTTCTTCTTTCCCTTCTTCCTTCTCCTTCCTCCTAAAATGAATGCCTTGGCCTTCTATTTATAGAATTCCAAAACTTGATTTTTTGATTTAAATAATCAGATGAAATAAATCATTTCTGCCAGGTATTGACACGTGTCATATTTGATGACTTTTCCAATTTATTTTGATTTTTTGTTGAGTCACACACTACATGTAAAATTTATGTGATATGTGAGCGTTGAAATTTTAATTTTTTGGTCAACATTTATTTCACCGAAATTTTGATGTCTACAAACTTCATGACATGCTGATGAACCTCGAGACTTGATATAATGTTTTTTGTATTGGTGAATATGTTTTGCAGACAGTTGCCCTGGTTGGAGAAAGTGGGAGTGGAAAATCGACAGTAGTAGCATTGTTGCAACGATTTTATGATCCAGATTCAGCTCATATCACACTTGATGGAACTGAACTTGGAAAATTCCACTTGAAATGGTTGAGGCAGCAGATGGGGCTTGTGGGGCAAGAACCTATTTTATTTAACGACACAATCCGTGCCAACATTGCATATGGAAAGGATGGTGATGCAAGTGAGGCAGAAATCATAGCTGCGTCGGAGTTGGCCAATGCACACAAGTTCATTAGTAGCTTGAATCAGGTTAGAACATATAATAAATTCTTTTTGGGATAGTTTAAAACAAGATTGTTTCAGAACTAATCCAAATGCGTTGTGCAGGGGTATGACACCGTAGTAGGAGAACGAGGAATACAATTATCTGGCAGGCAGAAGCAACGCGTAGCCATTGCGCTTGCGATAAGCAAGAGCCCCAAGATATTACTGTTGGACGAAGCTACAAGTGCACTTGATGCTGAATCTGAGAGTGGTTCAAGACGCATTAGACAGGATGATGGTAAACAGGACCACAGTAGTGGTTGCTCATCGACTATCGACAATCAAGAATGCCGATGAGATTGCGGTGGTTAAAAACGGATTGATAGTAGAAAAAGGGAAGCATGATAGGTCGATCAAAATTACAGATGGATTTTATGCATCCTTGGTTGCTCTGCACATGAGAAATTCAATTGCATGAGCTTCTTTCTTGTTACCCTTTTCTCACCAAACACTAAAGGGAAAAATGGCATTGTCACGCCACCTATCCGAGTGGCATTGTCACGCCACCAAACACTAAGGAGATAAATGCATAATGATTATATTTTCTCGTTCTAATCCTTAATGTAGTCAATGTTACAAGAAAGTAGTTTTAGGTCATAGAAGATGGCTTTTGTTCTGTTGGTGAGCTTGTTTGAAAAGAAAAGAATACCACAACTTTCTTAGTATTGTTTCAATTCCAAGTATGTTTTTTCATTTCAAATTCTCACGATATATTTCGAGAGGAATTTCTAATTAGTTGGACGAATTCAACCCAAGTAAACGTTGTTGTCGATGCCTACCAAATAGTGGCCTTATTTTTTGCATTTGGTTTTGTAATTTTCATAAGATCGTGGTGCTTATATTATTGCATGATAATAGGCAACATACGGTTCTCAATGAGAGTTGTGGTGTAAGATTCTGTTTGTTCTAAAACAATAAAGGAATGCAAGCGATTTTTTGTAAGTTAGTATCAGGCCCATGCAATTGAGTAGTTTTCAATTAACGATGCAATGTCATATGGTGTTATTAATTCACTTGAGTGGTCTCTTTGTGAAAAAATTGAGTAAGGATTCAAGTAACGAAGCAATGTTTCTATAACTTTGTCAGAGTCTTGCGTCAAACAAAGGATTAGACATGTCCTGAGAGGCACAAAACACAATCTAGCCAAAAAACCAATGCTCACCATCTAAACCAGCTTGGCAACAAGACTTCTTCGGCAAATGCAAAGGCAAGGGAATCTGACTCAAAACACTTAATTTGTCTAAACAAGAGCGCCCCCTTTGTAGAGAGAAGATAAACCCTTAAAATTCCAGAGTCCAGTTCCCCACACAAAAGCCAAATCATATTCGTTCAAGAAACCAATCATTTCCAATGATAAAACCTAAGCCCTCCTTCCTCCAATTAACTTCAGATTCGACCTTCATGATACACATGAGAGTGGTTCACAAACACCGGTTATTTGAAACAGGCAGGCATAGAGACAGATGTGCAAATGCAGCTTGTGAATAAAAGATCGTGTTTTGATGATTTTTATAGACCATGTCAGGGAGGGATCATGTCCTACTTCAAACTTTTATATCTTCTTTTTCTCCTATGCGGCAATACATATTAATAAATTTATTACGAAACAGATTATCCTAAATCCTGCTTTGCCTTACTGAGTCTATTGGAGATCAAAAGAGATTAAAAGGAAGAAAAAAAAGTTTAATCAACATTAACTGCTCCTTAAAGACATAGAACAAAACTATCAGTCTTCTTCACTGTCATCACTATAGGAAACAAGACCTGTCTTGGCAGCAACACTGGACTTATCAATACCACCATTAAGCGTCTTAATTACCTCTAAAGTTTTTTCTGTATCTACATGTGGCCTTTTCAATGTGTTTCTAGGTTCTTCACTACCTCCCTGATCAATTTTGGCTTTCTTTGCTTGTGGCTGCACCTTAATAATCATACCTAATTGACGAGGAGGTGGATTCTTCTTCTCAGCTGATTTCTGTTCCTGCAACCAAATGATTTTATTCAGAAACGTAACTAACATTTCCAACTACTGGAGGAGGCCATCTCTCCTCTGGCACTGTCATATTCCTCATATTTATGTACCAACCTGGCCTATAGGAACCGAAGGTGCTTCCTTAAGCTCTTGCACAATGCTAGACTTTGCCGCCACCGCAGCCTGATAAGAACAACTGGTGTAAAAAATTTGTCACACAAGAATAATGAAATGGCCAGGAAATCATGTTTGGCCTATTTCTATTCATCTTTATCATAATTTTTCATACCCATCAAAAAAAAGGATCGGACAAATTTATTTTACCATACCCATCAATAACGGATAAGATGTATACAAAAAGAGAAACAATAGTGAACCTACATTCAATTGATTTTACTTCTAATCAGTCGAACTAAAAAACCATATGACCCTTTACTCTTTTTGTCAAACCAGTAGAGCAGGTGGGTAATAAAGCATCATTCAAAATTGAGCTTTGAACGTTTTTAAATTTGAAGCATACCTATTTAAGAAACTCTAAAATCCCCTGTTATATCTTTCAGTGTACCCGTTGCATATCCCATCATATCCAAACCAAAATTCAACATAAAGAAGAATTCAAACTGGTACTTCAACTTTCATATTGGATACGTATCTCACCATAAGAGAGCCATATCTTATCAGATACTAACCCTATCCTAAAAGCAGAGCACCTGTGCTCATAACATAGAGGTAAGTATATAGAGAGGTCTAACCTAGGGTTTCATTTGGCTAAACATTTCCAAAGATCTAGATAGAAAAATGTAGTATATCTTAAAAGCACTTAAAGCTAAAAATAAAATGGATTCCTTTTCATGATCAAATGCATCCATGAAATGACCTCAAACGTTAGAATTTCAAGCATTAAGAGGTCAACTGCGAGAAATTATAGATGTATGTCTATTACTAAATTCAATACAAAGGTTAAAGACAATATGAGAAGCTTTGAAACTGCCAAATTCTAGCATACAGGAAATCAAAATAAAGTAAACTCTCAAACTTTTATTTTTTGTGAAATGAAGTCAACATAGTGCCTTTCTGATGTAAGTCTTTATTTGTTTTGGGACTTGAGGCCCTGGTTGTTCACCCAAAAAAGAAGAGAAAGAAGTAAACCTCAAATACGACGCCTTGACTGTAAAAAGTAGGATTACAATTCCAATGTCATTGAAAACATACCTGGAAACTCAGAAGCTGTTGAGCTTCCTCATCTGCAATTTTTTGCTCATATTCCTTCCTTGACTGAAAAGGAATGTCAAGAAAATAACACATGTGATAATATTAGTATCTCAGCTGTGTTGATTGTTTAACTACTTCATCCAGCAGCAGTGACAAATGTCTTGAAATTAAGAAGAAAAAATTTAAGACTGCTGTGAATAAAATCCTACTTAGCTACTCTACAAACCTAAAAAAGCCCTATTAGAAATTGAAAATCCACAGATACTTGATGTGCAACAAGTAAATGCTTCAAATGAAGTGCGAGTAACACCGATAACATGAATGAATAATAAAACATAGAGTCTTGTCTTACAGTCTCTAAATTTTCAAGGAACTCAGTCTCTTCATCGTCCAAAGCTTTGGGCGGTCCTGCAAAGAGAAAATGAGTGATTGAGTGAGTGAGAGAGAGCACGAGCACCGAGCACATAGCAGTACCAACATTCTTTGACTAATTTTATTTTCATCAAACAAAATGCAATGTTGATCAAATTAAAGGTTTAAATCTCTATATTCATACAATGATTGAAAGAAACGAAAGTTTGAGGTTTGAGGAGCACTCACTGTGCTTGAAACGTTCATTGAACTCTGCATCCTTCTTGTCTTTGTTTTCTTTCAAAATCTGCAATGAATTGAATGTAAACACAAACAATTGATAAAATTCGAATGAAATTGAGAGAATGGAAGAAGGAGAAGAAGAATAAGAAGAAGGTAAACGTACCTCGAAAAGGGGTCTGTCTCTCTGGGCAGTGCCATCCTCAACTCGTTCGCCCCTTGCTCTCTTGGCTTCATCCAACTGCAAGACATCATCAAAACGCAGCGTTAATGCACCAAAATTGCATTAGGATGGTTGATTGAAAGGATAATTAGGGCTTTTAGGGTTTTCAGAGAGATAACAACACCTGTTCCTCGGAGACGAAGCTCATAAGCCGGGGTGGGCGTGTGAAATCGTCCTCCGCCATCTCTCCGACTCCGAATACTAACAGTCACAGTCCTTCCTTCTACCTATTGGCTTTTGCTCTCACACTGGTCCTTCGGGTCTGTTGCTTCCACGGGCTACGCGCCTATAATTTAACAAAGAACCAACAATTTTATTGTAGATATTATTACATTTCACACATTGAGATTTGGATGACTTTCAAAACGAGCCATGAAAGTTTTAATTTGAATTTGTATCAATTTACATTTTTGGCCGGATTAATTGTTAATCTTCATTATAGATGATTATATTGTAATTCATGGCTAAATCCAGGGCCTTGATTCTTTCTGATCATATTGTGTGAGTTTAAAGAATAAGCCTACTATTATAGACCGATGACAAACCTATGTAGCTAGACTCGCCTAATACTTTATCTTCTTGATCTTAAAAAAATAAAAAATAAAAAAAAGGTTCCTTTTCACGCATTCAGAATATATGTGTGTTGATTTTTATGACATTGTTGCAATAGTGGGTACGAGTTTAATAGTAGTACATGAACATCATATTTTTTAAGAAATCAAACTCAATTCATGTGTATATTACACTCAATTATTGAATTTAGCCCTTTTAGACTCTAATTTTTGGATTTACTGTATGAGCTTGATTCCTTTATACTGTGAAAATCTACGTGATTTGATGAAGAAACACATGGAATGTGATTGTTAATGCCTAAAAATGGATCATTAATAAGTAACAGACCGACCTCTGGAGCCCAACCAGGAGGAGGTGTATGGGCTGAGACCTTCTTCTTATTCTTTTATTTTACTTTGGAGTTACCGAAGAAGGGGTGCTAAGGCCTATCTCTGTGTTATGTAACTAGGTTTTCTTGTTGACCTTCTTTGACCAACCAAATGGTGATTTTGGCACAAATATAGTTATAGAATCACGTCGAAAAAAATCACTTATACAACCAAGTTTTAATTTTAACCATGTCACATCCAATAAATGTTGGTCACATATTAAAAAAATATACTGCCTATTGAATAAACAATTAGCTCATGTTAGATTGAGTCCATAATGTGTACATTTCCACGTAAAAGAACACTGTTGGCAATATATCTATAGGAAAACTAATGAAAAGGGTTTGAAAACTTTGAGGGGGCGTTTGTTTGCCCTCACTAAGTTGGACTGGACTGGACTGGACTAACTATTAGTCCAATACTGTGTTTGTTCCATGCTGGGACTAACATTAATGAGACTAAAGAGGACTAGCATGGACAAAACCCTTCACTAAGAGGTCTTAGCGAGACCCCCCAATAATCATGGGACTAGCTAAGACTATCCTCTCTTTCTTGTCCTCGTCATGCTCAACGACCACTCCCGACAGACTCCTCGTCATCTCCGGTCACCTAGATCAATTATTAGCTTTCCCACTCTCTTTCAGATCCATTTCACAACCAACTTTCATACAAAATATACCAAATTGAAGCTGGGAGTGACAAGATTACGATTTTACCTAAATCGAGGCCAAAATGTGGTCGAATGTGGTCGGAAAATGGCCTGGAAGTCTCGGCCTATTTGGGCTTCTTCAAATCCATGACATATTTGAGTATTCAAAGCTAAGATCTCGGTCCATGGATGGTGATGAATTTTTTGGCGATGCTAACTTCATCCAATTTAACGAGGGTTGGCCGGCAAAACACATCAGGAAACCTGCAACTCGTCGGGAAAATTGGAGTTGTGAGATTCCGTTCGAACAACGCATAGCTAGAGAGGGAGGGAGAACAGAGAAATAGAGATTGGAATCAATAAGGAGTTTGACCAGGAATGAGAAAGAGACATGAATTGAGAGGTATAAGGGGAAAAAAAGGGAAGGGGTGGGACGATGAGAGGAGGAAAAGAGTGGGACGGAAATGGTAGGAAAAGATGGAGAAAAATATAAGATCATAATAAAATATTAATAATTTATATATTAAATAATATAATATTAGAATTTGTTATTATCCAACTTCTTAGTCCAATACTGCACCAAACGCTTCACTAAGTTAGTCCAGTTTAGTCTAGTCTAAGCCAGTCCAGCTTAGTCCAGTCTAAGCCAGTCCAGCTTAGTCCAGCTTAGTCCTTGAAGCTAATCCAGTCCGAGATAATCCGGCGCAACAAACGCTCCCTAAGTTTTAATGATAAGGGCAAAATAAAGGATAAAGTAAATAGTACCAAATTTGACTTTTTAGTGTAAAAATATAATTTTTCGTTAAAATAAATAGTACTGTAAGCTTTTCGTTAAAACTCTTTGTATCACAGCACGTTTCCAATCAAAACAAGAAACAGTGCCAACCGTGCTCGGCAGTGACAAAAAGCGTACGGTGAAAATCTTTACCGCACATTTGCCCAAAGTGTACAATTTCACAGTTTTCCATTTGCCTAACCAAACGCGCCTAAAACGTAATAAAACGTAAGTTTATGAAGAAAACAAAACCGATATAATCTAGTAACTACCTACCTATTGTATAGGAAGAAAAATGCTTTATACCTACAAAGCAAATATAATCTACCTGCAAAACAAAAATAAACTACCTATTGTATAGGAAGAAAAATGTTAGGAACCTACATGGCGGAACATAGAAATATAAATATGATATAATATACCTCCATTAAAGGAACGAATTTGGAGGGAAGAACACAAAAATATCACCCATGAAAAGAAGAAACAAAAAGAGGAGGATTGATAGAGGGAATTGTTTGGAAGAAGGAAAAAAGGTGGGATGAAACGAACTAGGGTTGAGGTGATTATATGGCTATAACTAATCCTACAATTAAGGGATTAGTTAAACGACAAATAATCTCATAATTAAGAAATTTTGTGTATTTATAACAATTCGTAAGTCTAAGGGGTAAATATGGTACAAACCACAAATAAGCATATGTGGAATCTTAATTATTGGACCTATTTCAATGAAGTGGACTATAAATTATAAAAAGAACAAGGGAAAAAAAAAGAAAGAAAACACAAGGCAAAAAGGCCAAGAACGACAGAAGAGAAGAAAAACCGAGAAAGCTCCATCAAGTCAAGAGAGGGTCTTTGATTTTTCTGCTTTTCGAAATAATAAAAAAAGAAATATGACCTCAGATTCTATGTCACATAAAATCCTCCTAAATCGAGTCTTCGGCAATTCCCTCTCAGCCTCAGGTACGCAAAATTTCCAATTTTCTTTTTAATTTCTTATCGATATGATTCCAGCTGAATTCGGATTCTTAATGTAATAGAAACCCTAGATCCTTTTCTTGATCGCATTTCCGTTCATAGTACAATTGAATTAATTCAAAATTGTGAATTTCATGTTTTCCGTGTCTTAGATTAGATTGAGTTGTGTATACAAGTACAAGAGCGAATTTCGAAGCAGCGGGAAGAAGCTTCAATTGTGAAATGTTGGGGACCCAGTAGGGTTTTGCCCTTGATTCCATTCCATTCGGTTCGATTCATTTTTTTTTCTCTTAATTTTGGACTCTGGGTTTTTGGGAGGTTTTTGTTCATCAAAGGCCTCCTATTAGCTCACTCTTTCTTCGAAATCTTTTGGGTTTCAATAAGATCCATGTGTGAACCTACTTATAACACTGTTTCTTATCATCCCTCAGTTCAATTTATATGAATAACTAGTTCAATTTGCCTTCCAATTCGAAGCCCTTGCTTTCTACAACTGGGTTTCAACATAATTTATTTCTACTGTGCCATAATAAATTTTAATTCTCGATCCCGGGTTCTTGAGCTTCTTTTGTTTTCTATAGAGGGATTTTGAAACTTTCGATGTCAAATCCACCGCAGCCTCCCATTGGCTACTCTGTCAGTATCACTCCCTCACGCCCACACACACCATCTCCTGACCCTGAGAAAATTTCTATTCCTCCACCACCTTTAATTACTCCTAGATTCCCTCCACCAAAGTTTCAACACGATCAAACTCCTCCTCCGTTGATCAAAACCCCAAATGTACCATCACCAGCTAATGGGTTGAAAACTGGCAGCCCTATTCCTCACTTGAGTACACCCCCTGGACCTCCTGTTTTTACTTCCCCTGTGAGGCCTGCTGCTGTGCCTTTTCGTGCTTCACCTGCAACTCCTCAGCCAGTTGCTTTCTCCCCGGGTACATCTTTGCCAACATCTTCGCCTCCCAATTTTTCAAATGGCTCGCAGCACCAACTTTCTAATGATACAGAGGATGATGCTGTGCCTGTTGGAGAATCACCATATGTCCTATTCTCAGCACATAAGGTATCTATCTTGCTCTCTTGGTTTTCAACCATTACGGTTTTACTATTTATTTGTAAGTATATATGTAAACTTTGGGTTTTTAAACTTTTTTAGAACTTACAAGCTGCCTCTAGATTTCTCTAACCACACACTTTAAGTAAGGACATGCTAGATTTCGTTTTTTGTGGAAACATATACATATATCTGGATATCCTTTAGCTCATTATGCAATCATTTATGCTTGAAAGAAAGTATCTTTCCCTAGATAGTTAAAACTTTCACTGAACCTCTCGCCTATGCATGTTATTATATAGGTGTTGAAACAAAAGAAACAAGCAAATGTACCCAGTTTGGGTTTTGGGGCCTTGGTTTCACCTGGAAGGGAAATTTCTCCAGGTCCCCAGATAATACAACGTGATCCTCATCGCTGCCACAGTTGTGGAGCTTATGCAAATATTTATTGCAACATCTTGTTGGGCTCAGGTCAGTGGCAATGTGTAATTTGCCGAGAACTGAATGGAAGTGAGGGCGAATACATAGCTCACAGCAAGGAAGATCTTTGTAATTTTCCAGAGTTGTCATCTCCTATGGTTGATTATGTTCAAACTGGGAACAATAGACCCGGCTTTGTTCCTGTTTCTGACTCAAGAATGTCTGCACCTATAGTTCTTGTCATAGATGAGTGTTTAGACGAACCACATCTGTGGGACTTACAGAGCTCCTTGCATGCATTTGTTGATTCACTTCCCCCGACAATGAGAATTGGAATAATACTGTACGGTCGCACAGTATCAGTTTATGATTTTTCAGAGGAATCAATTGCATCTGCTGATGTGCTTCCAGGAGATAAATCGCCAAGTCAGGATGCCTTGAAGGCATTGATATATGGAAGTGGTTTATACTTGTCTCCAATGCATGCTTCATTACCGGTAGCACATGCCATATTCTCATCCTTGAGGCCATACAAACTGAAAATTCCAGAAACTTCTAGAGATCGGTGCCTGGGTACGGCTGTTGAGGTTGCTCTTGCTATAGTTCAAGGGCCATCAGGAGAAATGTCTCGTGGGGTAATTAAAAGGGCTGGAGGTAATAGCAGAATCATTGTTTGTGCTGGTGGGCCTAATACATATGGTCCTGGATCTGTTCCTCATTCTTTCAGTCACCCAAATTATCCTCATATGGAAAAGACTGCATTGAAATGGATGGAGCATCTGGGTCAAGAGGCACACCGACAAAATACAGTGGTTGACATTTTATGTGCTGGGCAATGCCCTGTAAGAGTTCCTGTTTTGCAGCCTCTTGCAAAAGCTTCTGGAGGCATTTTTGTTCTCCATGACGACTTTGGGGAAGCCTTTGGTGTGAACTTACAAAGGGCATCTACCAGGGCTGCAGGCTCCCGTGGGTTCTTGGCAATACGTTGTTCCGATGATATTCTCATAACTCAAGTTGTGGGTCCTGGTGAAGAGGCACATATTGACACTCATGAAACCTTCAAAAACGACACTTCCCTTTATATACAAATGCTTAGTGTTGAAGAGACACAGAGCTTCTCACTCTCCTTGGAAAATAAGAGGGACATTAGGACTGAGTATGTGTATTTCCAGTTTACAATTCAGTATTTAAATGTGTATCAAGCTGATATATCAAGAGTAATTACTGTTAGATTGCCAACAGTTGATAGTGTTTCAGCATATCTTACAAGTGTTCAAGATGAAGTTGCAGCAGTTCTTATTGCAAAGCGGACTCTCCTGCGAGCTAAAAAATATTCTGATGCAATTGATATGCGAGCAACAATAGATGAAAGAATTAAAGACATTGCTCTGAAATTTGGGTCTCAAGTACCAAAGTCAAAGTTTTATCGGTTTCCAAAGGAGATCTCTTTATTGCCAGAGCTCCTGTTTCAGCTAAGAAGAGGCCCACTGTTGGGAAGCATTGTTGGCCATGAAGATGAGAGGTCTGTGTTACGAAACTTGTTTCTGAATGCGTCCTTTGATCTCTCACTTCGAATGGTAGCACCTCGTTGTTTAATGCATCGGGAAGGGGGAACATTTGAGGAACTACCAGCTTATGACCTTGCTATGCAGTCAGATGCAGCAGTTGTTCTTGACCATGGCACAGATGTCTTCATTTGGTTGGTATGTGCTTTGGTTCATACAGTTTTCAATTTTTATTTATTTATTCTAAATGTTGCATGCCATTTATCTGCCCAGAAGGGCCATAACCTTGTCATTTCTGACATTGATTGGACTTAAATTGAAAAGCATTTAAGTCTTGCTATTAATGCCCCCAAAAGAAATCAGAAATACTATTCCTGTCTCTGATATATGAAGTTTTATATGTGTAAGTGCATGGAGTCACTTGAAGTGACCGTTGTAGTATCACTATTCATAGTTTTTGTAGTATCACTATCCATAGTTCTGGAATTTTCTCTCGTAAATCATTTTTTCTCTCATTAGAAAATCTTGAAGTGTAAGATGATACGGAGGCTAGGATACCTTTTAAGGTACAGAATTTTACTTGGTTTCTTCCCCCTGTAAAAGATAGTACTTGTGATATGCTCTAGGGAAGAGGACCTATGCATGTTTATCTCTAGTTCTCTATACTGTCATTCTTTATGTAAAGGTAATGATGATAATATCCACCATGTTTTCTTTGCATTGCTCTTTCACTGAGTCATTGCAATGGCTAAAAGTGATGGGGGTTTGGTCTAGAAACTGCCACTCGTTTTTGGTCAAGGATTTTTTGGGAGAGCTGATAAGAAGATGATTACCCTTGTGGTGATCTGTAATAGAGAGAAATAACATAATCTTCCAAGATTAGAGGAAGTGTCACCCTTCAAACCAGTTTCCCCACCTCCCTTTTATTAAAAAAATTAATTAAAAGTTTGTCCACATATAAAATCACTTGAAAGGGCGATTTAAACTAAAAACCTCAATATCAATGGCGATGATGTGTATGATTGTAAGATTCCATGATTTTGTAACGGTTATCCATATTGGTGAAGCGGTTATTGTGATGATTCTAGCAGATTTCATCAGTTGATGAAGTGGATGATACTCTTTAGAAGGATGCTTTGAAGAGTAATATAGTGATTTACCACGTGTTGATAAGGGTGTGACTATTGTGACAACCTTAAAACTCATTTGCCTGGGCTTAAGCATGGGTTAATGGAAGCCTATAGAAATCTAGGGAAACTCCAGATCTTTCAAGCATTTGACATTAGTTTTAGAGTTAGGCTTAATAGAGGAAGGTGGATGGAAATGATAATATAGGAATACAGAGGGGGTGGGTTGAGTGAATTAGGATGTCTCAGAAACAAAACTGACGGGGGTGAGTATTGGGGGTGGTGGTAAAAAGTTTCGACGTCGTTATAAACATCAACACCAAAGCATTTTAGGGATGTTCCTCATTTCTATTAATTATTTATTGGGTGGGAGTTAGATTTTGAAGTTCCATAGCAAATCCTATTGCACAAAAGTAATTTGTAATCCTTGCTTAAAATTAAAAGGAAGAAATAATAACTGTATAAAATAGATGTATAGGCTGGTTGTGCTGAGCACTCTTGCGCAGTCTACAAATTCATATGATAACATCCACAAGCAGGAAATGGAGTATTACTTAGAGCAGTCTTTGGTCTTAAACTCGGAGATTGGTTTCTCTTTGTTGCTCAAGTCTTTCTCTGTTCAGAAATATCATAGATTTTTTTTCATATATTATTGTTTCCATATCTTTTAGTTGAACAGCTTCCTTTTGAATGGTGTATTCAGGGTGCTGAACTCGCTGCTGATGAAGGAAAAAGTGCAGCTGCTTTAGCGGCTTGCAGAACATTAGCTGAAGAGCTCACTGAACTGCGGTTTCCAGCTCCTCGGATCCTGTCGTTCAAGGTTATTTCTTTGTATATTCTTTCTTATTTCTTTGTATATTCTTGCTCGTGGTAATCTCTAGGAATGAAGCTGAACCTAATGGTCTGGTTGTTAAACAGGAAGGAAGTTCTCAGGCTCGATATTTCGTATCGCGGCTCATACCTGCACACAAGGATCCTCCTTATGAGCAGGTGAGAGTGAAGACAATAAACAATGGCGAATGTGGCTAATTGTCTTTGTAATCTAAAGGGTTTCCTATTCACATCGGATTTACTTTGGTACGAATGACATATTGAACTGTTGCATATACTGCAGGAAGCAAGATTCCCACAGCTACGAACTTTGACAACTGAAAAGCGGACAAAGCTGAAAAGCAGTTTTATTAGTTTTGACGAGCCTACTTTTTGCGAGTGGGTACGAAGCTTGAAAGTGGTGCCTCCAGAACCAAGCTAGAGGATGTTTGCTTTCTTAAACAAACTTGTTGGCTAATGTCGCTCCAAAAAGGCAGAGAAAATTGTGTCAAAAGGGATTCTTCTTTTCTTTCTTTTTTCACTGTTAACAGGAAATTATATTTATTTTTCTTGTTTTTGGTCAACAGAGGAAATTGTAGTTAAAGACATGAGCTCCCATCCCATGATCAATATCATTCTCTTCCTCTAGGCTATAGTTGCTGCTTTTGCTTTTGTTTTAACTAGGACGATAGTGTTGCTTTATTACGCCTATATAAGTTGGCTAGGGCTTCTTCACCTATGTTTTAATCTTCTTTTTGTAATTTAGATTAGGTCGGTATACGGTTGGAATCAAATCTGCATGTTTACCTGCAAGGAATCTCCCGATTCAAAGCCGACATCAAACGTATAAACATTCTCGTGTTCTTCATTAAAGTCGTCGTGAGTCACCAAAGCATGCCACGCATGTGCCTATTTTTTCACATCCAAAGCTAAAAGACCATCTCACGCTACTTGCGGTTCCAAATTGAAGAAGATCAAGCCTTGACAATTTTGACCAAATCACATTCCGGTCCAAAATCAAGTGTTCGTCACCTTTAGTTCAATCTTGTATCAATACAAATATTATTTTGTACATGTATTTTGTTTTATAGGTTACAAATACAATTGTGTTTATTGTCCAATTTTCTGTCTATTTTTTTATGAAGCAATCACATGACTTAGTAAAAAGTGACATATTGAGACGTAAAGATGAGATCGACGTAACTTATAAGGGCTTAAATATCCCTCCACAAGAGAGTTATGTGAATGCTTCGTCAAGAAAATGAACAAAGAGTGTAAGAATGTAAGTTGTCTATGAATTGCAACATTTGATAAATTACAAAATTAGAAGAATTCAAATATAAAGAGTAATAACTTAGTTCTTTAATTTCGTGGTAAATCTTAGTTCTATAATTTCGTGGTAAATCAGTGCAAAAAAGAGAAGAGAAAATTGAAGTAGGAGTAAATTACAAGGAACACAAGTGAAACTCTTTTAGTCTTAAGGAGTGTATTTCTGTAAACAAATAATAAGAAAGCCACAGATACACCCTTTGTTTCCATTCTCATGGTCATTTTCTGTTATTTCTTGGGGGTAATTATACAGTTACGCTCACCTTATCCAACTGGTTTCAGACTCGAGAGCAAGCCAACCTCTGGATCCGGGGCTTTTGTAAATAACATACAAACCGTTTGAATCCCTCCTTGAATTCACAACCTCAAGGAATAATGGCGGTGGCGCCTCTTCCTCTGGTGAAACATCATCAACTGTCACCTCTGTGCTCCAAGTTTTCCCACCCCCTCAACCTCAAAAACCGGCAGCTGTGTTCCTCCTTTTTCGGCGGAAGAACCTTCCAAATGCCCGAAACATCGAGAATGGTGTGCCGAAGAAGACGAAGAATGCAAGCAGTGGCTTCGTTGGGAGGTTTATTAGGTGGGATTTTCAAAGGAAGCGACACTGGTGAGTCCACCAGGCAGCAGTATGCTCCCACCGTTTCTGTCATCAATGGCTTGGAAGCTCAGATGTCTGCGCTCTCCGATTCGGAGCTGAGGGAGAAGACGCGCCTCTTTCAAGAACGCGCCAAGCAGGGAGAGTCTTTGGATTCCCTTTTACCTGTCAGTATTATTTTCTTCATTAAATTCTAATTTAGGTTTTCTCTAACGTAGGAATTAAAACATGGGTTTTGTATTCTGGATTGTTCTTATTGCTCAGGCCGAGGATGCTACTCAGTTCTTGGTTTCCATTTTATAGTTTCTGTTGTATATTTACTTTGCTTATATTTATAACCAAAGAAGCATTCCCATTCCAGGAAGCATTTGCCGTCGTAAGGGAGGCTTCGAAGAGGGTTTTAGGCCTTCGTCCCTTTGATGTCCAACTCATAGGTAGTTATCCTCCACTCCCTCACATACTATCCATCTGAATCTTGCTCAAATCGTCCTGTCAAAATAAATGAACGAACATTTAATTTGGCTTCTGGTACATATGCATGACATTTCATTTGTTATACTATTGTTATGTTGGTATTGTCTGAACTGGAAGGACGCCTTTGTTTACTTCTGCTGGGTGCTTAAATATGCATATTATGCCTTTACTTATCGGATGTTACTTTTTGATCATGTAGGTGGCATGGTTCTTCATAAGGGGGAAATAGCTGAAATGAGAACTGGAGAAGGAAAAACCCTTGTTGCTATCTTACCAGCATATTTAAATGCATTAATTGGCAAAGGAGTTCATGTTGTTACTGTCAACGATTATCTGGCACGGCGGGATTGTGAGTGGGTTGGCCAGGTTCCTCGTTTCCTTGGATTGAAGGTTGGCCTAATCCAACGTATGTCTCCTTCTTATATGTACCCTGTGTTACACTTCCTTCAATCTCCATTTCTGTTGGTTTGTATTTTGGATCAAGACTAACTCCTAGGAACTCGGGAGATTGGTAGATTGAGTGCTTCTGCTTCTGCAAGTACTAAGTGCTTCATGCCTCACTTTTCCCGCAATTTGAAAGTCTATTTACTACCAGTCTTCATTTTAATGTTGTTGCACTTAAAATTAAAATTAGATAATGGAAAATCTTTTTAGAGCTTAGTTCATGGCCATTTATTGTTTATTTGCAAGTCTACTGAAACGTTTATTAGTGAGGAAGTTAATTTAAAGTGTTGCTGGATATTTTTTCTACATATTGCTTGCTTGCTAATTAAGATTGGACAGTTACCTAACAACTGGATGTTTCCTTGAGCAGAGAATATGACAAGTGAGCAAAGAAGGGAGAATTACTTATGCGACATCACATATGTTACCAACAGTGAGCTTGGTTTTGATTACTTGAGAGATAATCTGGCCACGGAAAGTAATTCTTGCCTTATTTTCTATTTCCATAGTATTTCATTTAGCTGAGTACATTTTCCATCCATTCAAGAGATTGTTTAACTATATTATTCAAACTGAATGTATTTCTTGGCATGTGCAGAGTGTTGAGGAGCTTGTCTTGAGGAATTTCAATTACTGTGTAATTGACGAGGTTGATTCCATCCTTATAGATGAAGCAAGGACACCTCTCATTATTTCTGGACCTGCAGAAAAACCTAGCGATCGGTATTATAAAGCTGCAAAGATAGCTGCAGTATTTGAGCGTGAAATACATTACACTGTAAGACTTCTGTGTATTTTAATGCAGAAGTTTCTCTATCTGGAGGGTTTAATAAATTCCAGGAGCCATGAATGATGAATTAGATCTTGTAGTATTCTTACTGAGGTTTTTGTTGCAGGTGGATGAAAAGATGAAAACAGTTCTGCTCACAGAACAGGGTTATGAAGATTCGGAAGAGATTCTGGGTGTAAAAGATCTATATGATCCCCGAGAACAGTGGGCATCTTATGTTCTGAATGCAATAAAAGCGAAAGAACTCTTTCTTAGAGATGTAAACTATATCATCCGTGGAAAAGAGGTTCTTATTGTTGATGAGTTTACAGGTCGAGTTATGCAGGTGATTATATTTGTTAATAGTTATATAATTTACGAGTGTGTTAGTTCTAGAATTAGTTGAGGGCCTTATTGTTTGTGTTGTGCAGTGTAGTTTGTTTTCTCATGTATTTTGTGGTCATGGAATAATTAGGTACCTAGGTGGTATCATACATTTACTAATGCAATAGTTTGTAATATTTATGTTAAATCAATCCCATCGAACACAACATTTTCATGTAGAGTTATCTCACCAACCTTGCAATATTAACCATCTAGCGGTGATGCCATAGCCTATAACTGATTGATTTCCAATCTTGTGTAAGAAATGTAGTCATGTTGGTAATCTGTTGAAAGTGTTCTCCTATCACAGAATTAGATATATGAGAAATATGGGTGCAAAAGTCAGGGTTATATTTCTTAATCTCTCAAGGTACAGGTTATAGTGGCTGATTATTTGTCATTTAGGGGAGGCGCTGGAGTGATGGACTTCACCAAGCAGTTGAAGCAAAAGAAGGTCTGCCCATTCAAAATGAAACAGTGACACTTGCTTCAATTAGCTACCAAAATTTCTTTCTCCAGGTTGGAGCATTCTCTCTCTCATCTCAATATCTGTCAAATTTATGGGAATTTATCTTCTTAAACTTATTTATTTATTTACCTATTACAGTTCCCAAAACTTTGTGGGATGACTGGCACTGCAGCAACTGAAAGCACAGAATTTGAAAGTATATACAAGCTTAAAGTTACAATTGTTCCAACAAACAAGCCTATGATTAGAAAGGTATTCTATACTATTTTATCTTGCCATTATAAAATACTACTAAACCATACAAATTGTACTGCTAATAATTACTCTTATTTCTATCTTTTATAGATGCTTTTATAAGTGGTTCAGTAAATAGATTTGGATGTCCTGTATACAAAATATAGGTAGTTTGCACAAGAGTGTGATGGTTTTATTTTACTATAATTAGTACAATCAAGTTTCTTATCATCTCTTTAATCTCTTTCACAGGATGAATCTGATGTAGTTTTCAGGGCAACTAAAGGAAAATGGCGGGCTGTTGTAGTAGAGATTTCTAGGATGAACAAGACAGGTCGTCCTGTACTTGTTGGTACAACCAGTGTTGAGCAGAGTGACTCATTGTCTGAGCAATTGCAAGAAGTTGGAATTCCCCATGAGGTACGGTCTCCTCTGTCAATATTTAAGATCATTACTTGGGGATTTTGTACTATTACATTATTTGAAGACCAACTGGGTGCGAAATTAATCTTCACTTTATTTTGTTAATTTTAAATTTGGATGATGTTATTTAGAAACTGTAGAATACTATGTGCTTTTTGAGAGGAAATTTATTATCTTTATCTTTTCTGGAAGGTTCTCAATGCAAAGCCAGAGAATGTGGAGAGGGAAGCAGAAATTGTAGCACAAAGTGGTCGTCTGGGGGCAGTAACTATTGCGACCAATATGGCAGGTCGAGGAACTGACATTATCCTTGGTGGGAATGCTGAATTTATGGCAAGGCTGAAGCTACGTGAGATGCTAATGCCAAGGTATAGTCTGAGCTTCGAGCTTGTTTTCCTAGTCGTTAACATTTTCGAAACTTGGACTTAATGTTTATCAGACACCAATACCATATAGAAGATTGTTAGGAATTATGGTCTACTACGATACTACATAGGGAACCTTAAGATGGATCGAATATTCTATAG